CCCACAGGCCAGTTTGGTGGAGGCATTTTCTCAGTTGAGGTTCGTTCTTCTTAAATGACTCTAGCTTGTATCAAGTTGAAGTAAAATACATAGTAACTCAATTATTTGCTTAATTATTTGAATATAGTATTTTCTTAAAGTAACTTCATCATTTTATATTTTCATAAGCAATATCCAAGAGTTTCAGTTTCCCAACATCCCAACAAACAGCTAATATTGTGAAAACCAATTAATTGATGTATATGTGTACATTTGTTTCTATACTCTTTTTTAAAAATAAATTTGTTTATTTATTTATTTTACATCCCAGCCAGTGTCCATCTATTTGCCTTTAAGTTTCCTGGTGACATTGTTTTTAACAGCTGTGTAGTACTCCATTATGTAAAAGTACCATGTTTTCTTTATCCATGAGTGTTGATCCTCTCATTTCTTTTTTTAAAGAATTTATTTATTTATTATGCATACAGTATTTTGCCTGCATGTATGTCTGCAGGACAGAAGAGGGCACCAGGTCTCATTATAGACATTTGTCAGCCACCATGTGGTTGCTGGGAATTGAACTCATGACCTTTGGAAGAGCAGTCAGTGCTCTTGACCTCTGAGCCATCTCTCCATCCCCTTGATCCTCTGATTTCTTTCTCTATCCATTTATCATTTGTATATAAGAGGGCTATGTAGCACGAATTCTCTTTGGCCTTATTAATAAAACTCAGAGTCAGTTATCAGGGGGTGATAGCTGAGGGATCAGATTAGCTGAGTGAGCAGCCAGCAACTAGAGTGCTTACCTCTACCAATGCTCAGACCAAAGAGGCGATCCTGTCCTCAGACTGCATCTCCAGACTGCACCCTCAGACTGACTGCTTCAGACTGCCTGAGCTCCTGTCTCCTCCTCATATACCTCTCTTCGTCCAGCCATATCATTCCTGTCTCCACCTCCCTAGTCCTGGGATTAAAGGCAGGTGACTCCAAGTGCTAGGAGCTCTGTTTCTCGTTTAGATTGGATCAATTTATGTAGCCCAGGGTGGCCTTGAACTAACAGAGATCCATCTGCCTCTGTCTCCCTGTTACTGGGATTAAAGTTGTGTGCCACCACTGCCTGGCCTCTATGGCTAACTAGTGTGACTAGCTCTGCACTCTGATCTTCAGGCAAGCTTTATTTGTTATAGAATAAACAAAATTCTCACCTTGGGATTTTTTAAAGTTAATCTTGTATAGGCAACTTGATTAAGGAGTTCCCTAGTAGAATTTTTGGGGTACCTTACATATACTACTATATCATCTTCAAATAATACTTTGACTTCTTCCTTTCCAATTTGTATCCCCTTGATTTCTTTTAGTTGTCTTATTGCTTTAGCTATTTCAAGTACTATATTGAATAGGTATAGAGAGAGTGGACAACTTTGTCTTGTACCTGATTTTAGTGGAATTGCTTTGAGTTTCTCTCCATTTAATTTGATGTTGGCTTTCTGTATATTGCTTTTATTATGTTTAGATATGTCCCTTGTATCCCTGATCTCTCCAAGACTTTTATCATGAAGGGCTGTTGCATTTTGTCAAAGGCTTTTTCAGCATCTAAGAAGATGATCATGTGGTTTTTCTTTTTCAGTTTGTTTATATGGTGGATTACATTGATGGATTTTTGTATGCTGAACCAGCTCTGCATCTCTGGGATGAAGCCTACTTGGTCATGGTAGATGATCTTTTTGATGTGTCCTTGGATTTGGTTTGCCAGTATTTTATTGAGGAGTTTTGCATCGATGTTCATGAGGGTAATTCGTCTGTAATTCTCTTTCTTTGTTGAGTCTTTGTGTGGTTTGGTTATCAGAATGACTGTGGCCTCACAGAAAGAATTTGGCAATGTTGCTTCTGTTTCTATTTTGTGGAATAATTTGAGGAATATTAGCATTAGTTCTTTGAATGACTTTTTGAATTCTGTGTTAAAACTGTCTGACCCTGGGCTTTTTTTTTGGTTGGGAGTCTTTTAATGATTGCTTCTATTTCCTTAGGGGTTATTGGTCTATTTAAATTGTTTATCTAACCTTGATTTAACTTTGGTAAATGGTATCTGTCCACGACTTTTATAGTTTCCAATTTAGTGGAGTATGGGTTTTTGAAGTATGACCTGATGATTATCTGGATTTCCTCGGCGTCTGTTGTCATATATCCCCTTTTGTTGCTTCTATACTCTTAATTTCATTTAACTGACTTTTTTTGTTTTGTTTTTTGATAGGGTTTCTTCCCCCCCCCCACAGCGTTTCTCTGTATTGTTTTGGAGCCTGTCTTGAAACTTGCTTTGTAGACCAGGCTGGCCTCAAACTCACAGAGATCTGCCTGTCTCTGCCTCCTGAGTGCTGGGATTAATAGCGTGCACCACCATTGCCCAGCAATGTACTTTTTTTTTACTGAAAATTTTTCTTTGATATACATTGGACACAATTGTGATGGCTAATCTTACTTGTCAATTTGAGAACATCTGGAATCACTAAAACCCAAAATGCTTATCTAGCCAATGAAGGATTTTGTTAATCAGATTATCTGAAGAAGGAAGGCCCAATCTAAATCCCGTCCACACCTTCTAGTGGCGGTTCACATAGAAGTACAAGGAAGAAGGAAGCTTTTGCCTGCTTGTACTCTCTTGCTGGCAAATTTATCTATCCTATTGCTGAGGCATTCCTTCATTGGTATTTGGACTACCTTCTTTGTGATTTCAACATAGACTGAAGATCAGAAGCTCTCTAGGAATCCGAAAGGACTCCAGCACCAGACTGGGACTGCTGAGACATCCAGTCTCCAAGATTGAAAAACTGTCAGATTCTCTGCCTTCCTGTTGTTAGACAGCTAGCTATTCTATTGTTGGATACCCAGATGGTATCTTGTGAGCCAGTCTAATAAATTAATAAATCCTGGATGAATATATATATATATATATATATATATATATATATATATATATATAATCACACACACACATACACACACACACATATGTGTGTGTGTGTGTGTGTTTATGTACATACATTTGGATATATATCTAATAATGGAGTTGCTAGGTTATATGGTGTCTTAGGTTGATAAAATGCCTATCTATAATCCCAGTTCCTGGGAAAGAAGGCAGGAAGATCAGATTTTTCAAAATCATCTTCAGTTATCTAGTGAATTATAAGCTAGACGCATTTTTGTTCAATGTACAACAATGTATACTTGTGTAAAAGTGTTGAAGGAACCGGCTTCCCTTTTGGCAGCCATAGCGGTCGAACATGTGCTTCTATGACCTTGACCTAGTCACTAGAAAGTCAGATGCCTGTCTCGTGACAAGGAACCAATCAGAAGTTAGCTGGTGGCGCTATGCTTTACGACCCTGGGTGTGCTTTACGGACTAGCGCACAGCAATGACGTAGAGAGCATAGCAACCACCCTGGGAGGGCCTATGAGCCATAACAACCAGTTGACCAATCAACACAGGGCAAGCCCTCCAAGCCTGGAGGCACACCAATCGTGAGCCTGTGCGTGCCCCTAGACACTCCCCTTACGCTGCCCTATAAGATCTT